ACCTCTACTGGAGAATTCAGAGGTTAGGGTTTTTAAAGGGAATTTGGTGGGCAGGGGGCTAGGAACTGCTGATTGGTTGGGGAACTGAATTACAGAGGTGCTGAGGTCCTTTCTGTGCCAAGTCAGTTTCTGGGTGGAATTCACAGGTCACTGGTCTGGTTGGTGTCAGAAGGTCTGCCAAAATGCAGAATCTGAAAAACAGCTCAAACACCTGTCTCAGGTTTGTGTTATCTACAGGAGCAACTGGGAAGTTACAAATATGGTGAACAATGGATGTGGGAGGGAGTATTTCTAGTGATCAATGCTTTGGCCCATTAAACTTCTGACAGCTCATTGTTTAAGGGACAACGTGTTCATCAATCTCACTGGCAGCTTCCCCTCTCCAAGGTTAGGACATAAAGAAAACCAATTGCTCTCTACTGCAGTGTTTGAACAAATCAACAGATTTGCTAATTTCTTTTTTTTTTGAGTTGGAATCTCTTTCCATTGCCCAGGCTGGAGAGCAGTGGCATGTTCACAGTCACCCCAGTGTCAACCAGTTGGGCTCCGGCGATTCTTCCACCTCAGCCTTCCAAGTATACAGAACTACAGGAGCACACTACACTTGGCTAATTTTTGATTTATTGTAGAGACGAGGTCTCGCTAAATTGCCTGGGCTCAGGCAATCCACTCGTCTCAGCCTCCCAAAGTGTAATCCCAAAGATTACAGGCTGAGTCACCGAGCCAGGCCAGATTTGCTAATTTCTAACCAGCTGCTCCTTTGCAAGGCTCAGGTCTCTTCTACAGTCTTTATCCTGTGGCTCTGTATTAATTAAAGTTGCAGGCAACTTCACTTTTGCAGATGAATTGCACTCTGAACACACAAGCACTGAACAGACACACGTTCCTGCCTCTGTCAGACCCACGCACTAGGGTTTACCTGCAGCTTCTGATTCCTGGTTACGCCCTGGCCTGATGCGCTTGGGAAGAGAATGTCCATTCCTCCTTGTTCCATCAGGGACAGTCTCCAGACTTTGTCTTCCTTGACCTCCTCTGGTATTTGCCCCTCTTGAGATGTCTCTTCCCCGCCTGCTGTATTGGTCAGGTTCTGAGCAGAAAGCTGATAGCACCCCCAAATCAGGAATGCCTAAGGAAGCTTCCCGAACAGGGCTGTTCACAGGGATGAGCTGCTAGTGCAGTGGCGTGACTGCACTCCCGGGCCAGAAGGACAGGGGAGTGCTATTGACAATGACTCAGAAGGGACAGGGGAGTCAGCCCAGACACAGGATGCTGCCTTGAGAGGCAAGGCCCAGGAACTACGAGGAAGGAAATCAGGGGCACCCCAGAGGGCACTGAGGAGGTTCACTTGGTCTGGGGACTCAGAAAAGTGGGGAAGGAAAGTGTGGCTCTGAAGAGACAAAAGGCCAATGTGGGCACGGTTGGCTGTTATGACCCACTCTACTGGGGCTCCTTCCCATTCCCCAGGCAAGGACTTTTTCTTGACCTGTGTCTTCCTTTCTTATGCCCTAGGTTTCAGTGACAGAACTGCTCCTGCGTGTCTTTGGAGCGAACTCATTCGTTCCTGCGGATTCACCAGCACACCACAGACACCCGGTCAGCCCAGAGCTCTCCCCTGAGGCCTTGTTACCAAGTCTTCCAGCTGTTTCTGCTGAGATAAGCACACGCCAAGTGGTGCTTAGGAGATATCATGGGAACTTTCTAAAACCTCACACGTATTCACTCACTTCCTACTCACCACAGCCCCATGCAGTGGCTCTGGGGGTATCTTTCTTTTACAGAAGATGTTGAGGCACATGAAGGTTAGGTAATTGTGTCTAAGGTTGTGCAGCTAGAAGGGACAGAGCCAGGACTGGAGCCCATAGTGACTTCTGACCCCACATTCCTAACCATGATTCTCTTGTTCTTGGAGCATCTACAGACTGGACTGGAGGGTAGTTTCCAGAAAGGCTTTCCTCCCTGGTTGGTGATCGTTCTCATCCCATGGACTCCTGTGGAGCAGTAGAAGTCTTGTGTCAAAAACTCTTCTGGGTTGAGCACGGTGGCTCATACCTGTAATCTCAGCACTCTGGAAGGCTGAGGCAGGAGGATCACCTGAGCCAAGAATTTCAAGACCAGCCTGGGCAACATAGTGAAAAAAAAAAAAAAAAAACTAAAAAATATTAGTCAGATGTGGGGGTACATACCTGTAGTCCCAGCTACTCAGGAGGCTGAGGTGGAAGGATCACCTGAATCCAGGAGGTCAAGGCTGTGGTGAGCCATAATTGTGCCACTGCACTCCAGTCTGGGCAACAGAGTGCAACTTTGACTCAAAAAGCAAAACAGCCGGGCTCGGTGGCTCAGCCTGTAATCCCGCGCCTTAGGGAGGCTGAGGTGAGTGGATTGCCTGAGCCCACGGGTTCGAGACCCGCCTGAGCAGCGAGACCTCATCTCTACAATAAATCAAAAAATCAGCTGGGCGTGGTAGCACATGCCTGTAATTCCGGCTACTCGGAAGGCTGAGGCGGAAGGATCGCCGGAGCCCAGCAGGTCGAGGCTGCGGTGGCTGGGAGCGGCCACTGCACTCTAGTCTGGGCGACAGAGTGAGACTACAACTCAAAAAAGAAAAAAAAAAAAAGGCAAAACAACACAAAAAACCAAAAAAGAAAAAAAAAAACCAACTCCTCTTGGCCAGTGCTTTGGGAGGTGGAGGAGGTTAGCTGGGCGTGGTACATACCTGTAGTCCCGGCTACTCAGAAGGCTGAGGTAGAAGGATCACCTGAATCCAAGAGGCCATGGCTGTGGTGAGCCATGATGGTGCCACTGTACTCCAGCCTGGGTGACAGAGTGAGACCCTGACTAAAAAAGCCAAAACAACAAACAAACAAAAACTCTTCTTGGCCAGTGCTTTGGGAGGTGGAGGAGGTTAGCCGGTTGTGGTACGATGTGCTTGTAGTCCCAGCTACTTGCAAGGCTGAGGTGAGAGATCACCTGAGGCCAGAAGGCCGAGGCTGCGGTGAGCCGTGACTGTGCCACTGCACTCCAGCCTGGGCCCTGTCTCTCAAAAAAAGTAAAAACCTCTTCAGGCTGCTCCTTTCGTGTCCTCCCCAACAGACTGCCCCCCTCCTGGTCTCCAAGCATCCCTGGGGCAGCACCCTTTCCAAACGGCAACACAGACCAGGGACTAAAAGAACTCACATTCCCCTCAGACACTTTATTGTTTACAAACATATGGATCCCGCAGGGATGGAACACAATCATTACTCAAGGAACGGAGAGGAGAAAGGCTCGCTTTGTAAAATATGTTGAGAATCATGGACTGGGAAAATGCTGCTCCGGCACCTGGGCTGTGGTTCAGGTGCTGCCATTAACACCTCCCAAAGGTCTTGATTTAGTAACTGTCCCAAGTCCTGCAACCTTCCTGATTCCATCTCTATATTTTTAAAATGACACAGACTGAACACCATAGGATGATTCTCCAGGAGGCACGTAACCCAGGCAGAATAGACGGGTTTTCCGGCTATTCCTGGTGAGAGCCAAGTTCTTGAGAAATGTATCACATTCAGCAACCTGCCTTCACTTCTTCTGCCACTTGTTTTACAGCAGGAGAAACAGACAACCAGTATGAGAGAGGGGTCCTTCCTGGCCCCCCTCCTCATAACTGTGTTAGAGTTTCAAGGAGGACAGCCAGAGCCCACGGGGTCTGCCAGGGACCAGCACAGGGACAGTCAGAGCCCACGGGATCCGCCAGGACCGGCACAGGGACAGCCCTTCCAGCCACTGGCAGCGCACTATTCTGAGGGGTCGGGGTGAGGTAGCTGCTGGAGGAGGAGCACTGTGACCGATGGAAACGTCCCTTCTCAGCGTTGGTTGTCCCTAACCTCTGTCTCCAGTCCCACTCTGCCTTCACGCTGGAGTGTCCAGAAGACAGCAGGGACTAACGACAAGCCAAAGTCTGTGTGAAGCGTTTCCAGAGAAGAGGTGGCAGAACTCCCCCTGGGAGAAATAAAGGCCATGGAGAGAGGCCCCAGAAAAGGGCAGGCCTCACTCCCAGACCATCTTAGAACAAAGGAGTCCCAGGGGCAAGGGCTAACTGTAGGCATGTCGGGAATCAGGGTCCCACTTGTGAGTCAGGGGATAAAAAGTTCAAGTCATCCATAAAAGTCTTGAAAGGCATGATGACTTCTGATCGTTGCCAGCAAAAGGCAACATTTTCTTTATCTTTGCATCCATTGGCCAAGAACTCAGGAACACCTATAGACTGACTTCACCAGCTATAACTGCTTCCTTACAGCTGGGAATGATTTGTTAATGACAGGACTTTGCTTCATATGATAAGATTTGGCTGATTCCACTTGATAAGAAAAGAAACTGCTTTAATTAAAGAAGGTTAATAATTAAAACTTCAAAGTGCCGCACAGCCCCAGAATTTTCCTGAAGACAGAAAACAGAGTCACTGGCCGTAGGAAGTAGAGACATTTGATCTGCGGCTTGGGAACAACAAATGGGCTTCCGCCCTCCCTGCAGCAGTTGTGGGCAGCTGTGTCCCCGGGGCCTGCCCTTGCTCACAGCCCTGTAGTGTCCTGAAGTGTAAACATTTTCTTATCCAGGGATCTGGAGGGCAGACGGGATGCTCGAGGCTCCCAGAGTAGGGAGGATGGGGTGGCCTGGAGTTCCTAGCAGCCAGGTCCACCTCGGGATGACTGGGCTCCCAGGGTGGGACACAGTGCTTGACACATCGTAGGCGCTCCAGGAATACTTACTGAACAAAAGAGCAAACAAAGAAAGGGAGGTCGACGGAAGAAAGGGCTCGGCCAACTCCAAAGCTAGGCCCCCATCAAGATGCAGTGATCGGTTTTACCACCAGATGGCAGCGCAGAGAAACAATCTGGCCTCGGCGACCTCGAGGCTCCAGAAGCTCCGCCCCTTCCCCAGCCTGGGTCTGCGCTCGCCCTTTTTGGGATCTCTGAACCCGGCACACACCCCACAGCTCTGAAAAGAAAAAACAAACATACCAACACAAGTGCAGCCCTCCAGTTTTTATAAAAGTCGAGTCCTGCTGTAGCTTAAAACCGCCCGCCCTCAGCCGTGCTCATGTCCTAGCCTTTTTAACTCAAACAAATTCTATCCCTTCATACTTCACACTTCCGATCTTGGTCTCCGACAGGAGGAAGCGTCCGTCCAGCGTGAAGGCCATGATGTAGGTGGCGACTGTGCCACCGTCCTCTTCGGATTTGAGGGCCACTATGATCTGGTCGTCGGTGTTGGGGATGAACTTGAAGGACGAGAAGCCGTGTGTGGGGACCAGCGCCCCCACGCGGCTGATGGCGACGTCGCCAAAGTCCGGGGCGGCGCTCAGCAGGAGGTTGGTGCCCTTGCGCTCGTCGTCCTTCTCGCTGTACCGCTCGTGGCTGGCCCGGCGGGGCAGGAAGAACCAGCGCTGCAGGGTGTCGCTCCAGCAGGCAGACTCGTGGATGAGGTAGCCTGTGGACGCAGGCAGACCACCTGGTCACCACGCGGGCATGGCAGATGACCTGGCCCGTTCCTGCCTGATCACGAGCGTGTGACGGCAGCGCAGGGAGTGGGAACGGTGGCCACGGGCACGGCCAACTGTAAGGACCCATCAGCCCACAGCAGCCTGGTCTCCTCGGTCCCTGGCTCTCCGGACTTCTGGAGGGTTTTCCGTCTGTCTGTTCTCAGTTATCTGAGCGAAGCCCGGGCCAGCCTGACAAGAGGCAAGGGCCACACCAGCCTGCAGTGCGTCCCTCCCCATGGTGTCCCCCAGGCGAGGCCAGGGAGCCATCCCAGGGCTTCTCACATAATTTCTGTCTCCTGGTGCCAACCGGGGGGCACAGAGGAGGACAAAGAGCCCAGGGAGAGGGAACAAAATAAACATGCAAGTTTGATTTGTGGGAAGAATAAATCGGGCTGGCGGAGACTGCTTTAAAACTGAACGGAAGTATCATATTCCCAGGTCAGGATGGAAATGAGCAGAACCTGAGGACGGAGGTACATACTCAGTCACCTCCTCCCGAACCTTGAGCTGATCAGGTCCACTCTAAGGCATTCAGATGAGGAGGAAGGTCAAGCACTATCAACCCTCCTCCTGCACCAGTGTGGGGCACCACGGCCGGGCCACCAGGAAGCGGGGACGAGGCACGGCCACCAGGGAGCAGGGACAGGGCTCAATCAGCCAGCACTAGCTCTTGTGCAGATGACACAGCAGCTGGGGACAGCAGGAGCCCAACCATCAGTGCAAGTAAGGAAGAAGAGAAAATAGCTCATTTCCCCCCAGAATCCTGCTGGCCTGAGGGAAGCTGCCATCAAAGGCAGCCAAAGTCATCAAAAGCAAGCAATGTGCTTTGTGAGCACAGAGAAGACACGCATGCACAGCGACGGGTGTCTGTTGAGCCCTGTGCTGTGGTCGGGCTCTTACCTGGTGGTCGGATCCCGGCGGCGGCCCGCAGAGCGTTGTAGCTGGACACCCAGCTCTCATGGGCCACGCTGCCCCTATGGCCCACCACCTTCACCCACTGTGGGTTGTCGTTCACCACGTCCCCCGTGGTGGTGGTCCATTCTTTGCCCAGGCCGCCCACATACAGACGCTCGTCCTTCACCGCCAGCCACTCGGCCTTGAAGCCTGGCAATGAGAGTAGGGTGTCCTGAGACCACTCGCCTGGCTCCTGCCTGGGCAGCAGCCAACGGGGCCTCGGAGGACACCCACACTCGGGCAGGGCTCCATCCCCTGGGTCCCACATTCTTGTTTCTCCTTCTCTTCTCTCCCTACCCTCCTACCCATCCTCCTTCAGCAGCTCAAGACAACAGCTGTCAGGACATCCCGACTCGCGTCTGAGTAAGATCCTCTGATGCTGTTGCCCTGCCTACCCCCAAAGGCCCCACTGCCCATTCTTGCAAGTCTCCTAAGATTCCCAAACTCCCTGTTCCTTAATCTGTAACCCCCCAATCTCAATTATGCGCCAATGCTAGAAAAGTCTAAAAGTGACAGCACTCTGAAGTGTCCCTCCCAGAACACATGTGCTGCCTTGCAGCCACAACAGACATCTCACTGAAGGTCAGTTAAATGCCAGCGGCTGAAGGAGAGGCTGAGGGAGGCTCGGTGCTAGGGATCCCAGCCTTCCTTCTTTTTTTTCTTTTGAGTTGGAGTCTCACTCTTTGTTGCTCAGGCTGGAGTGCAGTGGCACACTCATGGCCACCGCAGCCTCAACCTGCTGGGCTCAGGTGATCCTTCCATCTCTACCTTCCAAGTAGCTGGAACTACAGATGCACGCCACCACACCCGGCTAGTATTTTTTTATTTATTGTAGAGACGAGGTCTCACCAAGTTGTCCAGGCTAGTCTGGAACCCCCGGGCTCAGGCAATCCTCTCGCTTTGGCCTCTCAAAGTGCTGGGATTATAGGCTAAGCCACCGCGCCCGGTCCCAGCCCTCCTTTCAATGTATTTGTTCATAAGCTGGATTTGTTTGTTCTTAAATGGATTTATTTATTTTGGAGACAGGGTTTCACTGTCACCTAGGCTGGAATGCAGTGGTATAATCACAGCTCACTACAGCCTTGACATTCTGGGCTCAAGCAATCCTCCTGCCTCAGCCTCTCAAGTAGCTGGAACTACAGGCACACACCATCACACCTGGCTAATTTTCCTATTTTTGTAGAGGCCAGGTCTCAAACTCCTGGGCTCAAGCAATTGCCCTGTCTTGGCCTCCCAGATTGTTGGGGATTACAGGAATTCAGTCACTGTGCCTGGCCTAATTTTGAAGGCTGCTATGGAGTTCAGGCCATGAAAGCTTGTGTTCTTCCAGCGTTTTCTTACCTGTCCCACACCTTGCATTCTAACTTGTGCTTGCTTTCCCAAAATTCTGTAAGCTTCTTGTCCCCTGAGGAGCTGGAGCTGCACCTGCCCCCCATCCCAACGAGATACAGTAGCTTCTCTGTGGGAGCTCTGGAGGGACCTGCTGTATTCCTATAGCCCCAATGACCTCCTTGTCTCTGGAGCCACTTTTGTGATAAGATGCTTTCTACTTATAGGGTCTTCCGTCCTCCTGGATGACCTGACTGCACGCCAGCCCCAAGGCTCCCTCCACCCCATCTTTATCCCTGTCCCAGGGGAAGATCAGAACTATGCAAGGGTTGCCTAGAGCCCTGGCAGGCACAGGGCAGGAAATGGGTGACCCACGTTTTCTCCAACAGCTGGTTTGAGGTACATTCCCTGCCAACTGCCTGGCCCTGGGTAAACACTGAAGATTTTATCACCTGGGAGGGGCTGGCAGACTGTGTTGTATGGGCTCAATTATCTAGTGCGATTCCTCCTCTGACCTTAGAAAGCCTGCAGTGGCGTTCGGCTTTCTAGAAGGTGCAGGTGCATTGCCAGCTCGAACAGACATGGAAGCATTTGAAACTCCTCTGCCAATGTCCCTGGTACTTCCCCTGCCCCTCCCTTTATGATGGCACAGGGCCACTGTGGTTCTGCCTTTTTCCCCTCTGTGGAAGCAGCAACTCTTGCCTGGTGAACAGGCTGATGGGCGGGGGAGGGGTGGGAGAGAAGTCACTGCTGCAGACACACACACACACCTCCTGCTGCCGGGCTTTCAGGGAAAGGGGGACTGGGTAGCAGAGGAAGTTTACCCTTTTAAGACACTGAATCAAAGTCTCCGTTTGAGATGAGAATAATCCGACCCATGGCTTTTGGGATAAGGCACCTGGTAGGAATAATCCCAGTGTGAACTTAGCCTCCTTTGGAGATGTTGAAAGGGACACGTCTCCAGAGGCACTCAGAGCAGCTCTAAGACTCATCCCACTTCTCCAGCAGGCCTCCAGGATTGATCTCATACTTCTAGAAACATGGCTCTGGTGTGAACTAACAGAGGCTTTTGCTCCTGGTTCGGGGTGGGGGGTGGGGGGGTGGGGTGTGGGCTAGAGCAGGAGGGAGACAAGCTCCTTCTGGGTGTGTGCCAGACTGTCCCTGAGGCCCCTGCCCACACCTCCATAAACCTGGGGGTCAGAAGAGACTGGCTCCATTACCTTTCTCCACAGTGCCGTCGCCGTCAGACAGAATCACCCAGGGGACAGCCCTGCTGCCTTCGATCTGGTAGATGACCCCTGTGCGGTCGTCCACAGAGTAGAGCTTCCCATTGAAGACGATCAGGTCCGAGAGCTCCATGCCTCTCCCCTTTTCTGCCAGATGGGATTCCAGGACCCCGGGGTCTTTGTCCCATTCCACGGCCACCTTGTCCCCACTGTCTGACAGGGTCAGATAGCCCTTTTTCAGGTAACTGAACCAGGTGTTCTCTGCTTGGGCCCTGGACTCTGTGTCCAGGTCGGCAATGACTGCGATTCGGTACCGAATCCCACCTGGCGTCCTCTGGGGGGCAGAGAGGGGGTAGGTGTCATTGTAGCGGTCAACAGGTGCCTGGCTGAGCCTCCAGTTGTGTGTGTTGTGGGCAGGGGGCCTGCCTGGGGATGGGCGGTGGAAGCAGAGTAGCCAGAAGACAGCGACGCCCAGGAAGGATGGCAGGATCACCCTCCAGCGGGGCCGGAAGCGGGGGTCTGCGGCCTTGGTCATGGACGCCAGCACAGGAAGGCCCCCCACACTTATCCGGAGGGAGTGCATAGACTCATTCCATTCCAGGGGATTGGAGGGCTGGACGGGCATGAGACTGATGGTCTGGTGGGACCTGTGCAGCTGGGGGAGAGAAGAGAGTTAGCCACGGGGCAGCATCTTGCTTCTCAATCACCTGAAGCTGCACAGCACGAAGTTTGACTTATCCAGAAGAAGAGGTATTTCCACTACTTTGTGGCCGTGATGCCTTCCTTGGCTTAATTAAACCCTGACTCTAGCAGTACCTTTGTTTACTCTTATTCAGCAAGATGTGAAGTCTTTCCAGAGCAAAATTATTTCATCTCCCTGTCCCAGCTGGTAAGATAGAAAGCTGAGAGAAAGACATTTTGTGTAGGCTGGTGCTTTGCACTCTCTCTAGAGAGAAAAGCAGGGCAGCCACGTGGGAGTGGGAATAGGAAGGGTGACGGTTGCCAGGTGGGTGGGATAGGATAACAGCAAGGGCCCAGATCTGCATTTTACTCAAATGCCACCTCATCCAGGAAGCCTTTCCTGATGGCCCTGCCCGCAACATCACCCTCCATCCCTTCCTTGGCGTGTGTCACCATCTGACATTATCAGTTTATTTATTTCTGTCTCCAGCTCTGGGTCCCTGGCTCCTTGAACAGTGGCTGGCACAGAGCAGATGAACATTCATTAAGTGAATGAGTCTTTACTTCCTCTGGATTAGGTTCCTGTACTATCAAAGATAAAACAGATCCAAACCAAATAAAACTTTTTTTGGTATTTTTGTTGTTGTTGGCAGCATCTGTCCCCTGGTGCCTTTCTACTAATGCAAATGACTGCAGGAACCAGAGTAGAGTGGCTCTTGTGGCCTGGAGCCCAGCGTGATTGTGCGCCAGCTCCAAAAGACTGCTGGGCTCACCTCAGGGCCTGGCTTGGCCCCAGGCCTTTTCTGGGCCACCTCCTATGCCCTGGGCACGGATACAAGGCGGAGCCCCACGGCTGGGGTGCTTGTGGCAGCCAGGAGCTGTAGTCCTTCACACCCCACCACTTCCTGGGCAGAGACCATGACAGCCCAGTGGAGCCACAGAGGCGTCAGGCCTGCATCTGCCCTGTGTCTGCCACCCAGAGGTGGAGGGCCCTCTGTCTCCAGGCAGCTACCATGCACCATACTGGGTGGCTCTCAGCACTGCTGGGGAGCAGGATCGATCATAGCCCTTGCCTGTGTTCCCAGTGCTTAGCCCTTCAACTGAAACTTAACAAACCCCAGCATGAGAAACTTCCCTTGCTGGACCACTGTAGCATGTCTGCCTCCTCCTGGAGAAAAACAACAAAGAACACATGTGTGACTCTGTGGGCAGATGTCGTTCTCACTGCCAAGTGGCACCTGGGAAGGACTCTGCACAATCCCAGGCCCCAAATACCCCGACCACGAAGCCCCGGTGTCCAGCGGCTAGAGGTGCTCTCTCAGCATGCTGCAGGCTGCTGGGCTCCAAAAAGATGCAAAAACAGGGCAGTGGTTCCATGTAGAAGCCCGCACACCCCCAACTTTGGGCAGTCTTAGGTCTTAGCCCATAGGGTCAGGTTCAAGAGGTAAGTAAGGTATATGCGTGGGGTCTGCTGCTGGGGTGAGTCCCGTAAGGGCAGGGTGGGGCTGGCAGTGGCCCCCTCGAGGCCTTGGGAGAAGGTTCCATGCTCCTTTTGTTTTTCTTTTTGAGTTGGAGTCTCACTGAGTCGCCCAGGCTAGAGGGCAGTGGCATGCTCACAGGCTATTCTTCTACCTTAGCCTTCCAAGTAGCTGGAACTATAGGCATGTGCCAACATGCCCGGCTAATTTTTCTTGATTTATTGTAGAGATAAGGTCTTGCCAAGTTGCCCAGGCTGGTCTCGAACCTGTGGGCTCAGTCAATCCTCTCACCTCAGGCTCCCAAAGTGCTGGTGTTATAGGCATGAGCCACTGCACCCAGCCTCTGTGCTCCTTTTAAGGGCAGGCTGCCTGGGTGCCCCCTCTCGCAGTGGTCATGGGCCAGTCCCTGAGGCCTTCTATGAAAGTGCCTGGTGCTGGCTGCTTCTCCCCTGACCATGCCCAGCCTCTGCAATCCCAAGGCTTCAAATCCCAAGGCTAGGCCGGAGATTCCCAGCATCTTATCTACAACGCTGCTCTGCATTCCCCTGTCTTTCCTTCTATTCAAATCCCACTGTATTTCTCACACACATTTTAAACACAACATCTCAAAACTTGAGTCCTACTCCCCTCTTCTCTCAAGCCTACTCGCCCCCATATTGCCCCTCGGGGATGGTGATGAGGATGGGTGGCTGCCACATCTGCAGTTGTCCCAGTCCAAGCTCTCCTGGGAACCTGTGGGATGCATTTTTCTGTGTAATTATTACACAAAAAGTTATCAACCACCCCCACCACAAGAGCCTCCTCCCTCCCTTATCCTTAGCCAGCATGACAGTGTGAGCAGGCCCTGTCCATTGGAAGCTAGGCCTCCTGTCCCCTGGCTCCATCCATTTCCATGACTCATTCTCATTTGAACTACCCAAGAGCCTCCCTGGGCCTCTCTGCTGCCATCTCCTCCCAGACAACACCACTACCCAGTGGCCAGTGCCACCAGCTATGTCGTCATGCCTGCCAGATGGTGCACTCTTGGCTTCAGTGTCTGCCCCTGGCTCCAGGGAGAACACCTGCTATGGCCTCCCACTCAGCCTTACACTCTCACCGTCTCTTCTGCTTGCCAACTGGTCATGCAGGCCTCTTTCCGTCCCCTGACCACACTGGTCCTCATCCTCTGGGCAGGGTGTGCCATTCCCTCTGCCTGGAACACTCTTCCAAGACTGGCTCACAATCATCCCCAGGGTCTTTCAAAATGTCAGCCCCTCAGAAAAGCTTGCCTGCTTGCTGCCCTACTCCATAGCTCTGGCTCCTTCTTCCACCCCCCGCCTGGTGGTGGGGTAAATAGTGACATTCCTGGGACAGGGACTTGCCCACACCATGGCCCAGCACCTGGCATACTGCCGGGCATGGAGCAGAAACTCAGCACATGTTGGCTGGAGGAAGAGAAACGCCACATGGGCCACTAACCCATTTCTTCAACAGCCTGATCAAGGCCCCAACCATGAGCTGCTCAGGGGCCACACCCAGGAAGACAGTGTCCACCAGTGTAGATGGGTGTCAGGGACTGTGCTATGTTGCCCTCACAGGCTCCTGCAGCCCCCACACCTATCCCTGTTTAACTCCCCTTGCATTCAGGGAGTCACCGTCCACACCTTCATGGACATGTCAAAGCCCCGGTCCACTTGCCACCAGCAGACTCCACAGCCACTTTTGGCAGCAAGACCCCTGCGAGGAGGCCACACCCATTCCCTGCAGCAGGCACCCATCCAGGGAGAAGGGATCCCTCACCAGCTGCTCAGGGCAGTCCATCCAGCCGGGCACTGTTCTCTCTCAGTACAAACACGCCTGACCTCCAACTTTCCACTATCACTCAGGGACAACTGCTGAACCAATGGCGAATCTATGAATGAATAAAACCTTCCCCGAGTCCCTGACATTTTTTACCTTCCCCACTCTGCCCACAGCCCCCGGGGCCCCCTTACTCACTACCCTTCAAGAGTGCCCACACTCACACCCCTTTCTTTCCCTCTCAGCTGTGCCAGGACCTGACTCAACCCCGCTCCTCAGGGACAGCAGACCCATGGGCTCAGCCCCACATTATCTCGCTGTACCTCGGTGCCCTGTCCCTTCGCTCTGCTGGCCTCCTCCTGAGTGGGTCTTCTCAGTCCCCAGGGCTGCTCCCTTCTGCCAGCCCTGAAGGCTCATGCTGCCCATTTCGTGTCTCTCCTAGGTGTGCCTGACCTGCACACCAAAGGTTCCATGCCTTCCCAAACTGACCCTTTCCCTGAATTCCAGGCCAGTAGACAGGTGCCTCACACAGGTTCCTCTCAGGAATCCACTCTCCCGGCTCAGAACATGCCCAGCCCTCAGGCGTCATCCTGGAAAGAGCCCTCACACTCTCACTCTCCCTTGTTGGGCACCCCCCTGCCCCCACAGCCTTTGTCCCAGCCCCGTCTCACCTTGATGACTTCAAAGGCCTCCCAATGACCCAACCCCTCAGGGCCAAGCTTCAGCTCTGTCATACAAGTTCCCTAACCTTAGACAGGGACTTCCTTCTCTGGGCCTTGGTTTACTCCCCAGAGCCGTGCTGACTGCCAAGTCATAGGCTGAGGGTGGAGAACTTCACAGAGTGTCCACCTGTTACTGCTTCTTATCCTTCAATAAGCACCCTCACCCACCTGCCTAGAGGGTTGGACACTACCTACCACCCACCAGTCAGTCAAACCCAGCCCCTGGCCCGGTGTGCCAACGAAGCCTGGTGCATAAATGTGGCTCACTTGAGCAGTATGGGCCCCTCCTTTGAGTACTGAGCCTGGCTACAGAGTTGGGGGGTCGCAGCAGACTGCACAGCCTGAAAATATCAACTACCTGTCCCTTTACAGATCCCTGGTCAAGACCATCTCAAACCATCCTCCACAAAACTGACAGAATGATCTTTCTAAAAAGTGAGTCTGGATTAAAACTCTTTAGTGATCCCAATGCCTTCTGCCTAGAGGACAAACTCCTCAGCCTGCGGAGAAAGCCTCACCAAGTTTTCAGCCTAACCTCCTAGGAACTCTCAATCTGCGCAGTGCTGGAGTATTTACAGTTCCATAATCAGATGTCCAACCTCTGCACACCTGTGATGCTCATCTTCTCTGATCACAAGGAACTATCTAGAATTCATGGGCTGTGATAGTCATGCTTCTGCTGTCTCTCCCCCTTCTGTCCTGTGTCTGTGATGAAGTGCCCCTCCTTCCTAGTAAGCCTTCTCTCCTGTGAGACTGATACTGGTCCCCAAGATATCCAGGCCCAAATCCCTGGAACCTGGGGATGTGACCTTCTATGGCAGTAGAGACTTTGCAGATGTGATTAAGGATCACAACACGGGGAGATTAACCAGGGGGCCCTACGTGCAATCCTGAGTGTCTTTTCATAAAAGAGAGGTGGAGGGAGATTGACGTAGACTGAGGAGAAGGTCATGTGATCACAGTGGCAGAGAATGATGTGATGTGGCTGCAAGCCAAAGACTGCCTGGGGCTCCCAGAAGCTGGAAGAGGTAAGGCAGAATCCTCCCCTGGAGCATTTGGAGGAAGGGTGACCCTGGGACACCTCAATTTTGGCCCGGTGATTCTGATACTGGATTCATTATCTACGATCTATTGAATCTCTAGAACTATGAGAGAACAAATGTGTTGCTTTAAGCCATAGTCTATGGTAATATGTGACAGCAGCCCCAGGACACAAATACACCTCCTGACACGGTATCCTATGTGCCACCTTAGTACTTGGACACCCTCTGCAACAGC